CACCACAGATGGATTATTGAAATGTCATCCTACTGAAATATGTTGTAGACCATAGGCAGAACATACAAAAACCCAGCCAGGCCTCTTAAACGTAAAGCACAGATGGATTATTTAAATAACAATATATAATATTTCTACAGATTTTAGGGATTTACTTAAAAAATATGCTTATTAATCCATTCAATCTGAATTCCATATATTTACTGAATATATCATTGTAAATCCAAACCAGCTCACCACAATAAGCAAATAAAATGACCAGTTCCCTGTTTGCACTTCTTAGTTCATCACCTCCAGTTTTATTTGTATTTTTCAAGTGTGAAGCCCAGTGTTACTCCTGGGTGCATGGAGAGATGCCTTTGCTGAGCTGTCTTGCCATTTTTGTGGCTGGAAAACAGAAAGAACTGGCACACACAACTCTGAGGATCGGCTGACAATAACCCACATTTGGCAAAACATCAGTGCCATATAAATATCTAATTCTCAATTCTTGAATTTATCCATGATTGGCTTAGCTGTCCAAAACTGAGAAAGTGTAAATGTTTAAAGCACATTAATATATTTTCTAGGGCTTATATGTAGGGACTTTCTAGAGGGAAATACAGCAAAAAGTACCAGAATATAAATGTATTCAAGGTACTTTTGGGAAACTTGGGAAGCTGGAGTTGAAACACTAAATTCACTGGGGCGGTGGGGGATTACTGCGGGATCCAGCAACTGGCAATCCAAGCCCAGCTTGAACTCCGTACAAACTTTTAGCATCCCCTGGACTTTTATACAGGTAAAAAAAAGACCAATCTAATATATTCAACTGCTGAAAGGCCCACATGTGATTTTATTATAACATAAATATGGAATTTAATGACTAATAATATTAAGTTGGAGTAAATAGAGGGTGTACAACAGGTTTTCTAGTGTAAACATCCTCTCTTGGTAAACAGATACTGACCAAAACGTTACACCTTTGTCAAGGAAAGGTTCCATTCCCTCAGACTCCACCTACATCAATAGAGTCTTAACGTCTAAATCCACACCCTGCTTGTTGCCAGTGGTTTGTTTGGGTGGCCTGTTTGCTTACAGCTACTAGGTCCAACAAAACCCACATCCAAGAAACTGGGTTTAAAGCAGCAGCAAAATAAGACTCCGTGGGATTTCCCAGTGACTAAACCGATTTTACAAAGCAAAGGGATTCCTAACATTAAGCACCACAGTGCGATGAAGCTTTTTGTGGTTTGGTCTTGATTGCACTAGACCCAACTTACACTATTAGTAACATAACAGGAGTCTGTAAAACAAATCAGAACAACATACTGTATTGGTAGTCTCATGGCTCCCTGCAACAGCTGTGTTATGATAAAAGAAAAACTGTTGCAGTACAAATAGTAGATCATTTGTATTTAAATAAAATATCCAAGATTATCTGTGTCAGAGAGATGAAATTGATACACTGGCTTCCTCTAGACTATATCCTGGCAAATATGAGCCTGAGGCCGCTGTCACAATAGGAGTAAAGCAGCCTCCTGGGACCCGGAAAGTCAGGAGGTAGTTCGTGTTAGAACACGTCAAGAAGCATCTTAAAAACAGGAGGCATTTCAGATTACTCGGTTATGCCACCAAATTCTTTGCTTTGGGGTATGTATGCAACATTACAATTATATATTATTTTATGATGAGTACAACTAATGTAAAAGAAGTATCAAAAATTGTTGCATTATTAATTAAGATTATGATGTGAGATTACTTTTTATCCTTAATCCTTAAATATCAGTAAAAAAATAAATTTACTTTAAATATGGCAGTAAAAAAAAAAAAGTTTGTGTTTTACTTTAAATATGGCAGTAAAAAAAATGTTTTTGTGTGTTTTAGCTAGGCCAGTGTTTTTTTTTTCTCATCTAAATATTATACAATAGGGCGAGCATAAAATGTGTAGATTCAGGCCACAGTATGTAAGAGATTTAAATCAGCACTGTTTTATTGCACAGAGCTTCATAAAAGCATAATGTGAAAAACAGTCTTTAAAGGATGGAATTACTCTCCAACAAAATTGATGACAAAACCACAGATTTTAAAGATTTTCCTCTCACAGTTTCCAGTAAAAACAACCAAGTGAAAACAGGGAGAGATAAGACAGTTTTCAGATAAAAAGACAATAAATAACATCCACTGGTGAACAACCACCTCACATGGAAGTAAAGCCAGTCAATGTATCGTTACTTAATGAGAATACCCAGTTCTTGGTACTAAGTTCTGTCACAAGACTATGTTCCTCAAAAACAAATTGAACACTGAAGAAACTATAGAGTAGCAGACTAGTCAAAGACTCACAACAGGTTCTGTAGTGATATTCCCTGTAGTTTCAAGGTCACACATCCTTTTTTTTTTACTTCTGCCAGTGCCAAAAATGAAGAGAAACAAAAACACAATAAAAAACCAATTACAGCGATGAGCTAATAATGATGGACAAATACTGAAACTGCAGAAGTGTATGGTCGTCACATCTGTCAAGTCAAAGGGGAATTGAGAGCAAATATTTCTTAACCACACAATGAAATGAATCAGAAGTGGTTAAAAATATTAACTTGTAGGCTATCCCACTGCTTTTTTTTTTTTTTTTTTAACCAGGTACTCAATTTACTTCGGATGGATGGTGACAGACAGTCAAAGGAAAACTGAAGACCAGACGACTCAAACATAATGAGGAAATGAAACCACAAACCAAAATTGAGCAAGATGGAAAGATAAGAAAAATGAAATGAATGCACAAACAAAATCCCCGATCATAAATGTCACCCAAAGCCACTGAGAATCAAGTGCTTGTCACTTGACCAGGAAAATTTTCCGCCACATCAGTTGTTATTGGCCATCGTGAAAGTGAACAGTTGGTGTTTTCCTGCGGGCTGCAGCGACAGATTTAGCTGCTGAAGGCCACTGTAGCTGCAACCAGACAATGTCTCAAACAAAAACAAGAATCATTACATCATATTTATTCAAGAATTAACTAGAATTTCATTAAAACAAGATCGCTACTGCTGTGCGTTCTAATCAAAATGAGCCCACATCATATTAGTGTACGTGCATGCACAGAATCATAAGAGCTTCACATTAAGGCAGAAACGCCAGCCCTAAACATGAGCATGTGTAACTCAAGTCACCATACGTCCACTCAGGGTTGTTTTTACATCATTACCCAGAAGACTCCAGAGAAATATAATTTCAGCCGTCGTAGAGTTCGTGCTGCTGAGCACAGTTACACTATTTGCCTCCATACAAAGTGTTTCAGCCCTCACACTGCAGGCAGAGTGACCAAGTCTGTACCAAGTGTGTTCCCCCTTCTTCTCACTTCCCTGAAACTTAATGAGAGGCTGTGAAGCGCTCTGTCAGTGTGACAATAATTATAGAAACTGGACCGTTCAGCAGCTGCAACACACACGCTCGCTGCTACTCCTTTTTTTCCTTTTTTATTGTTCACAGCCAACCAACCACTCAGCCCTTAGTCAATGTGAGATAAAACACTGAGGTCACATTAATCTAATCTAATTTTATATTTTGCAACAGATCAAACAAACACTAGCCATGAAGTGCTGGCCAACAAATACACAGCTCTGCCTCCAACTGTGCTACTGGGCCATGTCATCCAGTCAGGCCTTAGTTGTGTAAGGTGGAAACAATGTTAGGAGATAAAACTGAGAGTGCAAACATAACAGACATGACAGGCACTCACAGCTTCTACACCTCAACAAAAAGCCTCTTACAGTTTTGGAGATAATAAAATATGATAAATAAATAAAATGGCAGCAATAAAGTTTATGAATATGATTGTATAAGAGAAGCCGGGATCTTTTAACATATGTCATGTTAACTAGATTGAGAGATCTTTATTAATCCCTCGGGAGTTCCCTTTGGGAAATTATGGAGTATGACTTACAGAGAAAATTATTCTGTTCTGCTTTTGACTCTGACAACACTGAAAAATCACTAAGTCACTAAGAACAGATCAAGTACTTTCAATTAATTTTAGCACTTCATCTTACATTTTGCACTATCATCTTAGCAAGACAGCTGCTGATTTGCTACATTTTGACTACCTCCAAGTTATGTTGGGGAGGGGAGCAGAAATTAGCTAGCTAATTGTTACACTTTTGGACAGACAACGTTGTCATTCATAGCTTCCGAAATGAAAAAAGGTTGTGCTTTGGTTGCTCCTCCTCCAGTGAATTGAGTTTATTTGCATTTCAAGCATTAACTGTTTGAAAAATTCCCCAGTAACTGAATGAAGTTTTGACGTTTTGAAAGATATTTCATTTTGAATATTTTTACATTATAGTAGTAAAAGGCAGTATAGTTCCAGCACACAGATGGTACAAAACCTACATTTATTTGTTGCCATTCTTGAGAGAAAACAACAAATAAACACAAACTCATTTCTATAAAGGTACAATAAGATTCTAAAATGAAATAGATCAGATCACTTTTGTAGACCCAAAATAAAATCTCACTTGATCCATCTATTGGCCCCGATCCAGTATTTTGAAATGACTGCAATAGACGACGTTATTGCACCACATTCTCCGTAATAAATCTCATAATTGACCAGAGGCTGAATCGAGAAACACGACAGTACATGTAACCACATATAAAAGGTTTTTCTGCATTTTTATTTTAGCTCTCACCCTGTGACCACAGCTTGACAGCGTGTCACTCTACCTTGATTACTTAACGTTTAAAACCCAGTCAAACAAATGGGGCTATGGTTGCTTTTGAATAACGGTGCCAGCTGTGTAACTGTACAGCGGCTATGCCGACACAGTGGAGGACTGAATCTGTCCTGACTAGCTGTTAGCAGACGTGATTTATCCTACGTTATTCAGCAATTGTAGTGGTAGCAGCAGCAGTTAGCCTGTAGCTGTGGTGGGGGGACGTCAGTTAGTAGCCCGAATCTGAGGCTCCACCATTAGTGTCAGCTCACAATCACTCACCGCTCACTCTCACATACGTCTTACCTGAATGCTAACGGCCACCTCCTTTTAAATCCTTCTGGGGGATATTTTACGTGTAGAAGCGCCAGTTAATTGTGTCTAGCCTTTTGAAAATAGCAGCCAGTTATTTAAACCAGCCTAGCTAAAGAGGAGACACACTGTGCCCCGGTGGAACAGCATTTCTACGCCAGAGCATGTCATTGCTCAGCAGTAAAGTTAGGTTAAGCTAACAGCCGCTGCACAAGCTGTTGCGACTCTAGACCCCGCCCACCGTGGTATTGGATTGGCTACGTGAGAACCAGTTGCTTTCTGATAAGACGACGCCACTGTCAGTCAATCACACTGCAGTTGCTGATGTTTCACGGTGGGATGTGCACTGGATGCTGGAGAATTAGGATTTTTTAAAAAGATTTTACCAGACGTTTATAAGAACTGGCGAAAAAAACATCTATCTTATAATCATTTTATTTATTTATTTCTTCTTTGTTTATTTGCTCTGCAACAACAAACACGGGGTATTTAAAGCCCAGAAAAAGGGGCATTCCAGGCCACTAGTTTTAGAAATATATCCCCTACTGACGTTAAAAACCAGAGAATTAGCTCAAATATTCCCCAAGTGCTTTCATTTTTACAGCTTTAGGGCATTTCCCAAAAAGTATTTCCAAATAGTTTTTTGGTGGCCAACAAAACTTGCACAAACAACTCTTACAAATGTTAAAAGCACATGAGTCCGTGGACGTATGTGTTGCAGAAAAAGCGAAAAATATTGACATTTTTACACTTATGATAGAAATAGTTCAGCTACTGGATGTAAATAAATGGAGCTGGTGTTTGCTCGAAAGTTTTTTTTAATTTTTTTTTTTTTTTTTTATGAGTTACAAGACTGTGATCAACCACAGTCGAGTGAGATAATAACCTCAAATCTAGACTTCCTCTTTCAGTGGGAAAAAGCCTGACTCAGACACCGACAGCTTCTCTTCTCTTTTTAAAAAAAATTCAATTCAAAGCTGTGATCGACTGAGAACAAAACGAGCAGCAAACGGGCATAAAATACATACATAAATGATTGTCTTCCCAAGGAAAATCTCTCTTCTGTTTGAGGCTTTTGTCTGAATAATATAACAGCTGGTGAATGCCACCTGCTGGGCTTTCATTGAAACACACGTCATGTTAGTTCTGAACATGCAACACGCTCATCCTTTACTCACTCAGCATTTACTGTTATTATTATTATTATTATTATTGCTCTCATTTGGTTCCACAACTGATGACGTGATTCAGGAGACATGAACCACAGTGGTTAGAGGGGGAGGATATGCTGCTGCTGCTGCTGTTGCTCCTACTGTTGCTGTTGCAACACTCAGAAGTACTGAGTCACGGAGCACAAAGGCAGAGGGTCTCTTGTTGTTAAGGATCACTTTAATTCAATTCAGTGCAGCTGCCTCTGGGCATTAGCTTGACGCGTGTATGAAAGTAAACAGAAGCAGCAGAGCAGCGGTGAAATCACTGGTGTTAAGTATCAAACATCAACTGGGACTGGTGCAAAAACGTCCCCAGTAAAGAGTACGGATTATTCACACTGTGCACAAATTAGTGCATTAACCAAATGTTAATTTAATTAATTATGTCAGCTGGGTTGGTTTCACACACCTTCCAACTTATTTAAGGGTGGAAATAAACTTATTTTACGGTTTTTTTTACACAGCATAACTTAACCAAATGTTAATTTAATTAATTATATCAGCTGGGTTGGTTTCACACATCTTCCAACTTATTTAAGGGTAGAAATAAACTACACAGCATAACACATAGCCCCACTACTACTGTAGCAGTTTGAGCTAACGTCAGTTGGCTAACAATTAGCTATTGCAGCTTATTATAGCTCAACATTTGTTGACTTCTTTTTCCATCAATGAGTTTTAATTTATTTCTGCAGGTTCTGTAAACTAAGCTAAAGAACAAAATGACAAATTACAGAAAATAAATTCAGTGCCAGATATTTTGTGAATTTATTTTGTGATTTTATTCTTTTATTTTCCTTGTTTTTTTTTAATGCAGTCTCTGCTGACATTTACACATTTTGACATCAGCAGCAGCATGACAACACAGTATGTAACGCAGTGATATCATTAAATTCCCTTTTTTTTAATCCACAATAAGTATTCTATTTGATTTAAAACTTTAATTTAATTACAGAAATGAAACCGATTTGTTTGGTTGTTTTTTTTTTTTCATTTCTTGACATTTGGTCCGTGAAACATCGACATCAATATCATCATCATTGTTATGGGTCATGGGTCACAATATTACACGTTTATTTCACAGACAGATATTAAGACATTAGTTCACATCATGACTGAAACTCTTCCAACAACACACCAATACGAAATCATCAGATGACGACTCAGACATTCTTTGAAATTGCACAACCAAACAACACTGTAAACTCGTGGAGCATAAACTCATTTGATGGGCGAGTCTAGAATCTCCTGATAATCCTGCCTCATGGCCCTGCTCACCCTGTACAGTTTGAGCCCCGTCAGAGTGAACACGCTGATCATGATGACCAGGCCTCCGATGACATCATAGATGGACGGGATCATCCTCAGGACGATGAGCTGAAGGAACATGGCCACCACGATTTCCAGGTGCTGCACGGTGCTAACTAAGGCTGGATGAAACTTGTTGAGGGCGTAGTAAACTCCTAAAAACGCCACCGTGGAGCAGATACAGATTCCAATTAAATAGCCCCAGGTCTCCCCGTCCAGGGGAATGATGGGCTCCTGCATGATAAACATAGTGGAGGCACCCCACACAGTGCCCGTCCAGCCGAACGTGAAGAGTGCTGTCCACATGCTGACTCGCTCCTTTATGGCTCTGTAGACAATCATGGAGAGGGCAGCTGTCAAACCAGCCATCACTGTCATTGTGTAGCCGAAGGCCTCCTTCCAGAAGCCCAGTCTGGACTTCTCCTGATCGGCTACATTTGGCACCATGACCAGGCACAGACCGAAGACGCTGCCCACCACTGTGACCACATCTGTGTAGCCCAGCCTCTCGTCCAGGAGCAGGAACGCTAGTACCGCACTGAAGACGGTGGTGGAGGCACGCCACATGATGGTGCCGTTACTGGGCGGTACGATGGCAAAGGAGGTGTACGCGCAGGTGATGGAGATAACGTTGCAGACGCCGTAGAAGAAGAGACGCAGACGGTAGCCCTTGGGGCCGAAGGGGGCCTCGTGGTAGTAGAAGACCACCAGGATGGACAGGACTTGGATGACAGAGCGGATGAAGAGCAGCTCCAGAGAGGGCACTTTAGAGCGGTCGGCCGCTAATCGAGTGATCAGTGCCACGCAGCCGTGAGCCACCGCTGCTCCAAACAGAGCCATCCAGGTCACTCTGGAGGCCAGGACGTTGGCCTCGCCAAAGCTGGCCAGCTGGCCTCCAACCCCCTTGTCTCTCTGCACACTTGGCTGTTTGGGCGGGGTCTCCATGGTGCCAAAAAAAGTCCTGCCACCTTTACTGTCTGACACCAGTCTCTTGTCCACGTTAGCTTCTGCAAAGGCGCCAAATTCCTCAAAAGAGGGCGCATCATCGTAGCCCTCATCGCCAGGCTGAGGAAAGTGAGTGGCGTATTTCACCGTCACTGTGTTTGGGTGGATCTTTACCCTCTTTTTTGATTGATGCTGAAGTGAGGGGGGAGATACATCCATGTTGAGCAGGTGTATGAAGGTGTAAACTGAAAATTAAAGGAAAATTATTTTTAAAAAAATTTACATATAAATTCATAACTTTTTAAAATATGCATCATTCAAAGCTTATTCATAGCAAAAAATCCAAAAATGGCAAAACAAAATATAAAAATGCAAATAACCAGCAAAAAATCCAAAAATGGCAAAACAAAAGTAATATAAAAATGCAAATAACCAACAATTGGTTGAACAGTTAAAATAGAAAACAAATGATCCAGATACAGCTCAGTGTTAGCTGGAAAAAAAGCTAAATGTCGTATTAAAATAAGCGCTTTACCAGAGCACTGCTATAAGGTAACCAAAACAGATGTAGCCTGTTATAGATAAGATAGCTTAAACCAAACCTAAATTGATCACAAAATATTTGTTAAAAAAAGGGAAATGATTCTTAATGGCTAGCACACACTGCACACACACACATATACTGTATGTACATGCTATATCACTGCAGGCTAATACAATGTGCAGAGTGAGGTTGATGTAGTGTGAAAGGGGTTGAAGTTACGTAAGAGGGAAACCACAGGAGAAGATACTTGAATGTGGGCCAAGTAGGAGGTGAATGGAGCTGTGCTGCATAAATCAAAAGAAACCCACCCTGTAGTGTTGACCCTCAGCCATGAGTCGACGTATTTACGATCCTTTTTTTAAAGGTAGCAACTAATTAAACCGCTGTGTAACGTCCTTTGAAAGTGCAAGTTTAAAACAGCACAAAAATTACAAAGAAATCTCACGGATTTCTTACAAAAAATTTTCTAAACTTTTTTTTTTTTTGTCATTCGTTTCTAGTTCCAGCTTAAACCACTAGGGGGTAGTGGACACTAACAGGAATCTCTGACATACGGGCGTTCATGCATGCTTTTAATACATCGACATTATTTAACTAATTATTCAAAAGGATAATTAGTATGTTTATATGCAAGATATGCGTCATTAAAACATAAAAAAGGTTATAAATATAAAGTATATTAAGACTACTTGTTTTTAAGTGCAGGCAGATCAAATAACTATTAACGGTACACGCAGTCAGATAGGAAATAAAGCAAATAAAGAAAAGAAAAATCTACATCCATTATCATATAATTTTAATTCAGGATTATGAGCCTTTTTAGTGTGAGATGATGAATGGTTTGTCCTACCTTTATGTTTCTGAATTAGTTTCTATCAAGCACGAACTCGGGTTTGTGTCATAAATGAAGACCTCGCATGATTTCTTGATCCTCACGCTTCACAGCCAAATGCCATTCACCCATGATCTTCACCTCCTCCATCCTCTCCTCCTTCTTCCTTCTCTTCCTCCCTTTCACTGGAGCGACTCTCCAAGATGCGTGCGTGTCGGTGGATGGAGGCACGGCAGCTGATGGAGCTGGAGCTGCTGCTGCTGCTGGTGACGATGATGATGGTGATGATGAGGAGGGTGAGGATGAGGAGGGAGAGCGCTGATGAAGCCGGGAGAGAGTAGCAACTGTCACATCCAGAGGTTCCTCCCCCTCCTCCTCCTCCCTGTCACAGCTCCTACAACGTCATCACTCAGAATGGAAAATGGATGTGCGTCAAAAACACACCATCCTCGTCATCCTAATGGTGTTCATGGGATTAGAAACATCCATTTTAAGACGTGTCTCCCGTCTGAATTCATAAAGCTGATTAAAAGGCACCAGTAGGATGCAAACAGGAAATATCCATTCATGCAAAAATAAATAAATAAACAAACAAATACATAAATAGCTGCAGTGTTTTTACTTTACTACTGCAACAAACACCGAATGTATTCAGCAAACATCTCACTCACAGATGTGTGAGAACACTGCACTGCTGCCAGCCTCAGAAACAAGGTTTGAATACAAATCAATATATTTTTTAAACAAGGGTCAAGATTGAGGTGACATTTAATCATCAAGTACCGTAAAAGAAATAAATACTAGTTTTTTTTTAACTATTTGGTTTTGTCTTTAATGTAATGTAGTAAATACATTTAAGATACATTTTTATTAGGGCAGTTATTGTGTTTTTAACTGCACATTCTATGCCATTATATCTGCATTCCATTCTTTTTTATTCGACGTGTCCTCTTAAAGGGGCACTGTAAATTCCCTTGATATTCCCACTGCGTGAAATCATCTGATTTGCACCAGTGCGACTCTGCGGGGACCAACTCTCCGTCTCACGTACACGGTTCATTTTATCACAGCCTGGTTCCAGGAGGGGGTGGAGGGTACATCCTTCCCTCCTCCATTAAATCACTTTCACTCCCCAAATTCAAACATCCATATTGTGCAATTTAAACTAAAACACATCAGTACGAGTGCTGATGTCAAGCACACGTCAAACGGAAACAGTGGCTGGAAAGAAGACGTAAATTAAATAAATTTATAGGCCTTTCAATATGGGTGTGTTTGAAGGGGTGGGGGTGGGGGTGGGATGTGCAGTAAAAGCACTAAAATTAGACAGTTGCCTTTAACCCCTGAGGCTGTGCAACAGGGACCCGCCTTGGTAATGGAGACTCTGCCTCTGCCAGTGCTGCTGACTGCTGATTGGTAAATAGAAACGTCGATGGGTGATTTGCGATGCTACTGCAATTAACCCACCGTCAACATTTACACTCAGCTATTTAAAGATGACAACAGTGATAATAAAGCTACAAAGGATGTAATCAACCCCTAATATGTGCCACCGATCACTGGCGGCAGATAAACAGATACAGACCACTGACATAAGAGGATTTAAATGAAAGTCTTAATAAATATAATCATTAAAATATTGCAAATATCAAATTTGGTTGAGTGTGTCACAAGTCAGTGAATAGAAATGAACTGACGTCATAATATTTTACAAAACAAAAATATATAAAAAACTAGTATGGAAAATATATTCGTGTTTAACTGCAGATGTCGTGTGAAAAAAAATGGTCAAAATCAAAAATTATATGACCTATGTATTTGTATTCTTAATCTAATTTGTTGATTTTCTTTGTTTGTTTACTTGTTTAAAAATATTTCCTTCACTACTACGAATATGTCAATCTCTGAACACATGACCTTTTAGAAATGAAATGTTCCCAAATTGACAAAGGTCATGGATTTGCAAAAGTTAGGAATAAAAGAAAGAAGAAGTAAAAAGAAATAATAATAAAAAAGAATAAACACTCTGTGTACAGCTAACATTGCTAGCATATGTTTGGTTACCTTTAGCCGTTATTCTGCTGTTTTAGCTACTGTTGAAGGAGAATGTGATTAATCTGTAATCATAAATGTTTTTTGAGCTTAGCCAAGCAGATTGAACACAGACTGTGCTATTGAAATCAATGTTAGTCTCATTTTTCAGTACATTTTAAGCTACATCTTAGCCAACGTTAGCTGTAGCTTAGCATTAAGTGGCATTAAAGCACATGTTTAAAAAGATAATACATAAGCTTGAGTGGACTCTTCTACCCTGAGAGGTTTCACAGGAACCTTCTCTCTTTAACAGGATTATATGCCTGAATCTTTTATTCCCCTTCAGAGTTCATGTGAGATGTCGGTTCCCCGGGTCATGTGACATCCTACTGCTGCGCTGTGGCTGGATTCAGGATTTCAGCATTTAGTCCCAGTGCCATAGAAACAAGTTGAATGATGTTTTATATCTTTTTTTAAAAAATCGTGGGCTTTTCCTTTTATTTTACCGTCCCAGCTGCATAATCTCCCCCATAAGAAATTCATGGAGGCTTTTTCTCAACAGAGGGAGAAATATCTCCAGGGAGAGGCCGACGCAGTGAGTCTCTATAATCCTCACTGCTCTCATCTTATGTTCAAGCAGCTGTAGCAGACTACGGCTCTACTGGCAAACGCAGATATTACAAACATTTAATATAAATGTTACCATTTAAAAAGGGAAAATTAAATTCCATCAGCATTTGAAATGATAAAGCAATAAAGTCCTGATGTGTGTTTTCTATTGATCTTCTCTCGTCTGCTGCCCATAACATCCAGACATTCATTTATCTTCTGTTCAGTGCCGTGACTAATTAAGTAGTAATGAGTCAAACCAGTAAAACAGGCAGAGCCCACATTTAGAATTGGACAGATACGGACAGCCACCCCTGCGCTGATAAATTGCCCTATGGGTCTCTAAAGGCATTTTAAGGAGTTGGAGAAAAGTGAAGACGAGACCAGGCTTGTCACTGCAGGACAAATAAAGAAGAATAAATAGAGGACGAAGACCAAAAAGTCGATTTGCTCCTGGGTGGCACTGGAGTAGATGAGATTTTACCAGTGTTCACGTGGGACAAATCAACAAATAAGCTCACATTTTTTTGAGGAAAATGTGATTTTATGAAACTGTGATTTAACACAATTTGTGGAAAGTCAGGGAAAAGTTTTCAAACTAGAGAAGTTTTAATTAAAAAATTTTTTTTTAAGCATTTAACAGCATTTTGCAACATATGAGAATCACTCATGGCAACAAAACATGAGGCCAAAGAAAAGAAGAGGCTTCTAACCCAAAGAACACCTCCCCCACATCTCTCCACTCTAAACAATGGTAAAGCCGTACACACTGACAGGTGGTATTTGTGTACATTAGAGTCAGCTGACCATCTGTCTTATTCATTCAGATCTGTGTGGTCAGCGATGACAGGTGGATTATTACTCTAGATCAGACCTGATCAATACACCTTTTTGTGGAGTCGATGTAGACTAAAATCAATAAAGAGAATTGGCAGCAAGCAGGTGATATCAGGGACCAACCCCCACCAGAGGGACACATGTCTGACCAGCAGGTCCCCTGAGAACAACACTAATCTCTGCCACAATCCGTTTTAATCTCTTTTCACTTTGAAGGGGTTTCCTGGAGAACTGGAGCCAATCACCGGACATGGGTGGGGTTCAAACGACCAATCAAAAACTGGAGTCCAATTAACTGCATGTACAGTAACTACAATATTGAGAACCCCCCTCCCCTCGCCCCCAATAGACACACACACACACACAAGAAAACTCCACACAGATGAACCATCAATTACTGACAGGGATCGAACTGCTGACCATCATGCTGTAAGGCAATAGCACTAACCGCAGATTTGAAGTTGATGAAACAAAAGATGACTGTGTGGTTCTATTTATTCTGCCTCCACAAATATCCATCGATGGCAGGAACACAATGGTGTGGTTTACACGTTCCACACACGTTTTCACACCTTCCCTTTTCTTCTTCTGCTGAGGTTAAATCAGTTCGTTACAGCAGCCAACGTGGAACAATAGTCTCAGTTAAGCTACTGCGTGTTCGAAACAACTCTACCATTTCTATCTAAAGGAGTCCTGATTCACGACACCGCCGGGGAAGACTCTGTTCCAGGGCTGTGGTTAGTGTTTAGTGGCAGGCTGTACCCTGAAACTTTGATAAGCCTGACTGACTGAGTGTGGGCAGCAGATGGGTCACTTTTCATTTGATTCACTTCATTTCTGAGGGCTAGGGTTCCTGGTTATCATCTGATTTAATGTGTGTTTGTTCCTGTGAGTGCATACACGAGGCTAGAGCCGGGGAGCGTGTGGTCAGGATACAGTCGTAATAGAGGGCGCTAAACCTGTCAACACGGACCAATTATTGGAACCTGTTTGCAGTGTGTAAATATTTAATGGTAGAGACAACGACTCACACTGGTTCAGATCAATAACAAACAGTGGCTGTTCTTTAGTCAGAGATGATCCATGATGTTGGACCATTAACCTTTTCACTAACCAAGGATCCTCAGTACCTTTCTTTTAAAAAAAATTATATTTTTATGTAAATGTTTTCTATATTTTGGAACAATTAAGAAGAGAAAATATTTAATTAATTAGAATTAAAATTAATTTAAAAAATGTATTAATCTTATTAATGGCAGGGTAGCTTTGGATCAATAATCCACACATTCTTTTTTTGCTGGGAAAGAAAGACAAATAACAGCAGGAGGATGTAAGTTTTTCTCACCTGTTTTTTTTTTTGTGACTAATCCAAATAATAGGATTATTACTGTTGAAAAAGAACCCGACAGAACAGCATTTAAAAACCTATAAAACAAACTAAAGTGGTTCTGCTGGGTTTCTAACAGGTAGATATAAAACTGGCCTCACTGACACTGACATTAACTGGAGAAAAATAACACACTCACAGGTGGTACTTCAGTTGAAACAGCTATCTTTCCACACAATACTAGAACACTGCTGTTTGTTTATGGCTCATCACAAAAGCTAAAAAAAAAAACTATCATCAAAAACACCAAGTGGTGATAAAAGAACAGCCTGATTCACCCAGGCTGATTGGATGAATCAGGCTTGGGACAATCTTTGGGAGAGAGATCACAGTAGAACATAAAGGCTTCTGAATAGCAGGCAATCAGGACGAGGGCATTACATGGCTGCTGATTGGCTGAGAGATCCCTGTCTGGTTTTAACAATAATGGTAGTTATAATCATTTCCAGTACCATGGACAGAGCTAGTTGATACAGGTTTTCTTTTTCTTTCTGCTGCTTTTTTAGAAGCTAGGTGCTAGAAAAACAGGGTAGATATTGAATTATCTATCTATCTGTCTGTCTATCTGTCTATCTATCTATCTATCTGTCTGTCTGTCTATCTATCTATCTATCTATCTGTCTGTCTGTCTATCTATCTATCTGTCTGTCTATCTATCTGTCTATCTATCTGTCTGTCTATCTGTCTATCTATCTATCTATCTATCTATCTATCTATCTATCTATCTATCTGTCTATCTGTCTGTCTGTCTATGTATCTATCTATCTATCTGTCTATCTATCTATCTGTCTGTCTATCTGTCTGTCTGTCTGTCTATCTATCTGTCTATCTATCTATCTGTCTATCTATCTGTCTATCTATCTGTCTCCTCCTCTCTCCGTCCAACAGCCCATCTGGATTAGAAAACATCAGTCCTGCCTCAGGTGGTTCGACCTCACGTCAGTCTGCGATTAAGACCTGGCCAGTCCTGCTTTTCATTGACCTGTGCTCTGGTGCCACAGAGCAGACAGCAAGACCTGGTGCAGCAGCCTCACGGTGGACAGGAGTGTCTCCGCTGATTCATTATGCATGTGCTGCTCCTCTCAGGAGAATGGCCTTTTGGCAACTGTCAGCCCATTAAAATGTTACAACACTTTTGATCCTCGCTCATGACACCTTAATTTATGACAAAGGCGCAGCTATGCAAATGCCTTAATGGACTATTATGTTGTCACCCATGCTCTTAGTCCAAAAGTTCTATGCGTTCCCTCTCCTATTTTAAAGTCAGAGAGACACTTTTTATGACGTTATGGAAAGACACGGGGCAGAACATCTGTGTTTACCGTCACCACGGCCCAGCAGCTCTTTTTGAAAGAGTTCATCATGCCGTTGTGGAGCGAACAAAAAGATGTTTCGGCGAAATTACGAGGCGTAAAACGAGTCAAAGTGAGCCTGGATAAATCACAGCCTCGTCATGTGAGCAAGGCAGCGACAGCAGTTGATGTAGAAACACGAGGCAATAACAACGAATAGACGAATAGGGTTTTTATGACAGCAGGTGATGCACGGCCTGCAGTGTCACGCTGTAAATCACACACACGCTGCTGCAACAAGACACAGCCACATCAATACAGACATTGACCACCGTGTCAGCAGTTGGCTTCTGACGGGGGATTTGTATCAATAAATGGAATCTGATGCCAGTGGAAGCATGTGCTCTGAATAACAACAATGGCATATTGACTCTGGGATAAAACACAAACAAAAAAAAAGTTTAGCATCCCTGAAAAGATTTACAGCCACGGTCGTCAACCTTCTCTTACTTGGCACCAGAGTCCTCGTCTCGGCCAGCGTCCACAAATTATCCCTGGAAGACAACCCAGGAATTCTAACAGTGCTCAGAAGAAATATGATCTCTCCAGTATCTCCAACACGACCACCTCCCAGTTGAACTCTTGTTGTGTGTCACAACAATAATATCAACCATTTTACTACATTCAAAGTCGATGGAATTTCCAACTTTTTCCCACTTCAACTGTAGATGGTGCTATTTTTGCTTTTTTCAATTTAACAAACCCATGCTGACCCTCATGGTTGGATGAAAGGATGATTGGATGGACAGACCGATGGATGATGTGCTGAATCTCATTCCCAACATTCATCTATAAACCACCCTGGCCATGTCATTACTCCCATAAACCAAATACAAAGAGCAGAGATCATTCCTAATCAGTGTCACTGAATGCCTACAAATTCAGTCATAATGATTGAATCAACTCACTGCTCTTAATTAGACTATCTGACTGCGAGCACACACATGGAACCAAGGTTCATTTTTAATGAATCGGTGACACTTAACAGACGTGATTAATCATACCAATCGTTCATTGGTCATTAAAATAATACTACGTCACAGCTTGAACATCTTTGACATCGTCCTGACATTTAATTAATTGGCAGAGATTAAACCTGTAATAAAAAACCCTTTCTGTTCAGATGTACAAGACAAGAGTCACACAGAGTGAAGAGGAAAGGAAAACAGGATGGGAAAAACAGAGAAACATGAAAAGGAAAAACTGCTAAAAATATCTTATTGTTGAGTCGAATTATTTAAATTTGACCAAAGTAGATATATATATATAT